TCCAGACTCACCAGGTCCTTTCAGATAGAGTGGAGGGGTCTCCTGTGGTGCAGGTATTGTCTCTTGTGCAAGGACACCTTTGGTGGGAGAGTGCTGTGGACAAGGCCCTGGACCATCCCGAAACGCCGCCCCCCTTAGAGCCCACAGCTCGCCGTGATTTACTGCATCATTCTCTTGATGGTGGACACTTAAGTTTTCTCCATTTTCCACTGTAAGAAAGGATGTTTGACTGACATCCTTCTTGTACAGAAATTCCTGTGTTCTTGTATGAGTATTCCTTTACTTAAGGCTTCTGGAAATTTAGTCCCTGGATGTGACATTTACATTCATCACAGACTCATTTCAAGTGACTCTAGAATTTCCTTCTCCAGTGGGGAATGAAAAGATGTAGAGTAACTTATGTAACCAATTCTTTATCACTGGATATGATTTCACTTCAGCTTTTCTTCCCACCATGTAAACAGTGCTGTGTAAATGCCCTGAAGAGTACATCTTTTTGAACTGATTTTTTTTTCTAAATGAAACGATTCCTAGAAGTGGATTTGAGTCAGTGTGTACACACGTTTTTCAGAGTTTACATATCCATTAACATGTCGTCCTCCAAAAAGGTCACTCACAGTTTGTTCTCCCATAGATGGACACTAGCTAGGTTATCTTTTAAAAATATTTGCCAGTATGATGAGCAAAAGTGCTTTTTCATTGTTTTAGTTTGCATTTGATGACCAGTGAGGTATCGAGCATTTTTCGCTCATTAGCCATCTGACTTTTTAAAAGTGAATGATCCCTTTTGTTCTTTGCACACATTTAAGTGAGGGAGCTTCTGGTTGCTTTGTGACAGCTCTTTGTATGTTATGAACATTAACCCCTTGTCTTCATCAATATGTATCACAGAGCTTTTTCTTGTCATTTCCTGCCTTTCATTTTGTTCAGTAGGTTTATTTTTGTTGTGGCCCAAAATATTCTTAAGATAGTAAATGGCTTCATTTTGGGTTCTATCTTTGGTATTATTCTTAGAAATACTTTCTTATAATGGTATAAATCTCTTCTGTAGGTTTTTTTATCTCTAAAATGGAGAGGATAATAGTACTTGTTATAGTGAGGGGAAGTGAATTAATAAGAGCAAAGAGTTGTATCTGCTGTTATTACTACTTTTTAATATTTACATCACTATCTGTAATTTTTCTTGTGGTCATTATGACAGGAATAGAATTTGTTCTTTCCAGGTGATTCTCTGATTGTCCCAGGACAATTATTGAATTCATACTTTGCTCTTTGATTTGAAATCCTACCTGTACAAAATACTTATGTACACTAGAGTCTCTTTTTGAGCTCATGGTTTATTTCTGTCAATCTTACTTTCTTACTCCAGCACTATATCTTACATATCATAAAAATTTTAATTAATATCTGACAGTGTGATTTGTTTTTCTTTTCTTCCATCCTGAAGTTTCTTGGCTAGCATTATGACTTTAATATTCCTGAAGAATTCAAAAATATTTTGCTTAAGTTAAAAAAATCAGATAAGAGTTTTCATGGAATTTTTTACTAAGTTTTGAATTATTTTTAGGAGAACTTACATCTTTACAAAACTAATTTCCTGCATGCAATATGTTGATGTCTCTACATTCACACCTCTTATTTTACCCCTTAGTACAGTCCTGTAGTTTTCTCCATGTAGAACATGGGCATTATTTCTGAGTTTATTCCAGATTATTGTTGATGTTTTAGTTAATTTTGTAAGTGAGAATTTTTTGCTATTATATTTTTTAACTGTTCAAACTGACACCTAGGAAGGCAGATTCGGTTTGTAAATACTCACTTTGTAACTTGTCATTTAAAATTGTAAGTATTAAATACTTGTTCCAGAATCCTTTCTTTTCTGTTTTTAAAAATTTGTTTCCAAGATTATCAAGATGGTCATAGCTAAGTAGTACAGGTGGGCAGACAGATGGAGAGAGGTAGTGTGGCTCATGTACAAACTGTGAGCAGTTTCATGGCTGCCTATAGGCTGGAGAAGCTGCAGAAGAGCCCAGGTTAGAACAGGCGTGGCATTGTATGCACTTCAAAGCTAGCTTTCGTGCCTTTATGGTGAAGCCTGGTGGGCGTGGCAGGTAGAGGATCAAGGTCCGATGGAGGTCATTGGCTGCACAGAGCGCTGAGTCTGTGAGAACTGGAGACCATCACCATGGGAAATGCTTGGTGCCAGGAACGCTGCAGGGAAGCTGGGGAGCCTGTGTGTTAAGAATTTTCCAGTCCTGGGAATGGGGAGATCAGACTCTGCATTCAGATCTGAGTTTGAATTCATCCTTTCTTCTTTACTGGTCCTCTGACTTTTGTCAAGTTATATACCCTCTTTGAACTCCTGTTTTCTTGTCTTTCAAAATAGGAGAATTACGGCCTGCTGCTAGAGTGTTTGATCGGGGTAAAAGATTTGTGTCTATAAAATGCCACATACAGTCACAAGCTCAGTGAGAAATGGGCTGTCACCTCTTCTTCTGCAACTCAGTGCTCGACAAGACATCGGGGGAAAGCCAGTCCCTAATTTGTGTGTGATGCAAGTAGGAAAAAAATTAATGTCTTGCCTTTCCCTAGCACTATTCTTACTCTTTTGCTTCATTTCCCTCTTTCTTCCTTTCCTTTCCCCTTTCCCCTCCTTCACCAAAAGAACCTGAGACTCTCTCAGAACACTATATTCAAATTACTTTAAAGGTTGGCTCATCCTCATGAAATGACAGTAACAAAAAAAATCTGTACACATCCCAGATTTGATTGTATTTGATTTACACACACACGCGTGCGCACACACACACACACACACAATCAGGCTACCTCTCAGTTGCTGAGGGTGAAGGACCACTTTTTCTGAGTTTTAATTCACTGAGCATGAGAGCAAAGTCTCTTATGCAGACTTTCACCTGGCTTCGTGCATGGTGTTTTTAATTGAATTTCTGCTTTGTGGCCATTGAAATATTCTCCTAATGGAAGAGATGAAGTGGCGACATAGACATTCTGCTGAGATGTTGATGTCATCATATTTGAGTTGGAAAGGACTTAAGACAGCAGAGAGTCGTAACTTTTTATGAGTGAGAATCCATGATACTGTATCTTGGACAAGAACCTGGGTCTCCTGCCGTCGTGTCCACGCAGATGAAGAGGCAACTGGGCGGGGGACGGCAGGGATCCTTCTTGCTTGAGTTCCAGGGCCTTGCTAGTTTTCATTGCTCAGCTGCCTTTAGTTTATGTCCATGTGGCCTCCCATGGGAAGGTCATTCTGTCCTGATAGACTGAGTTACTAATCAGCAAAAAGCTCTGGACCCACTCATATTTCCCAGAGTTTTTCTGCTGACCTGCTGACACTTTATATAAATGAGATCTAAGAAACTACTGGATATAAAATCCTTATTGTTATCATTTGCCCTCGAGTTCCATAGGAATGGGGTGCTGTCTCAGGCTGTCTAAGGCTAGATCTGAACAAAGATAGGGTGATAGGCTCAGCTGCTGGACCCTCCCCAATTGAATGGGATTTCCACTTTAGTTTTTAGAATCAGGCAGATGAGTTCAAATCTTGCCTTTACCAGTTATTATCTTTGTGACCTTCGGGAAGGAACTGTATTTTTTGTGTCCAATTTTCTTTATCTGTAAATAAGTTCAGTATTTATTTTAGAATTGAATGAGCTAATTCCCTCATCTATACCTAAAATACTGATTGCTTGGTTCTATGCTGGTGCATTGGTAGTTGATTACTAAGGGACTCGGAAGTGAGAATGGGGGTGGGGGACCCTTGAATCATAGAGCTTATATTCCAGGATATGCTTGTAAAAGCCTGGATGTGCAGTGGATTTGTAGTAAATATCCATTCCTATCCTAATCCACATTGATTGTTTATATATCTTTATACTAATATATAAACGTTTTTTATAGCAATTTAAATCTCTTTGTAGTATTTAAAATATGTAGCTATAACAAAAATATGTGAAATAAAATGATTTGACATTTATTTTCTTTTCAATAAGCAAAACAAAATAAAATAGAAAAGAAAAAATAGTTTTGAAGGAGTAGAAATATGTTTATTTCCGTGGAATCAATTCCATCTAATAGGTTTTTTGGTTGTGTTGTTAAACAGCACATAAAATTGATAGGTTGTGACATATTGGAAACGAGGAAACAGTGGAGACATACTACCTCCAATGCACTCATTTAGTTACCGAGTCCAAACTCGTTCTGCTCGCCGCATGACAGGCCAATAAATCGGGAGATGAGGTGTTGGAGCAAGGAATAGTGACTTTATTTGCAAAGCTGGCAGACCCAGAAGATGGTATACTGATATCCTGGTGAACCCTCTTCCCCAAGACAGAATTCAGTCTCCTTTTATACTAAAAAGGGCCGGGGGTGTGATTGGTTGTTGCAAACTTCTTGATGTAGGAATTGTTTGTCCTTGGAATCCTCTGTTCTTGCAGCTGTCCATGTGGGTCAAATCATGGTGCCCCTGTAAAACCTCCAAAAAAACACAAAGGTTATTCTCTATTTTGAAACTTGCCAACTCTACATAAGTGCAGAAGAGTTAACATCCTAAAGATCAGAGCCCTGAGAATAGGCTCTCCTGGATATTTCAGGCTAAAGGCAACTTTTTTTACAAAAGGTGCAGACATAACAAGTCTGAGCCTAGAAAACAGGACACAGGTTAAAAGCCAAAGAAACAGATCTAAAATGGAGTCAAATTTGTTCTTTTCTATTACAATTTCTTTTTCCACCCACTTCATAAATAATTTTAGTAAGAAACATGAGCAATTTTTTTTTTCTTCTTAATAACGGATAAGTGGACCAACTACATTTTTGTGAGCAGGGATGCTGTGCGGGCCTTGGGGTCACAGCAAACTCTTGTTGGGGGTGGTCGACCCTGTAACATGTGTGATGCCCCATAAGTGTTGGTGAGGGTCCCCCTAACCAGGGGCTCTCTTCAGGAACCAGCATAAGGGCATTTACCTCTAGAGACCTCTTTTTCAGCTGCAGGAAATTTTTTCAGATACTGTGATTGAAAAATCACTCCAGCTGGGGATAATTAGGGAATAAAGGAAGAGGAAAACAGCTTGGGGTAGAGTAGAAGAGAAGGAGAGAAGATCAGGGAGCGTGGGGGCTTGGCAGCGGGCCTCAAGAGAGAGAGTAGCAGAGGTGGGGAGGGGAACGGCTCCAGAACCAGCTCCTGCATCTGTCCCCGCACCCAAGCAACACAGTTTTTAATTGGCCCAGGACGCTCTCCGGTCTGGATGTCACCCTGGGCAGAACCTTGAGAATCAAAGGTAAGGGGTGGGCAGCACTCACCTAGGGGGTCACTGAGGACTTTGGTCAAGTCCACAGTGCCTTTTCTGGTCATGTGTCTTCACTTGTCCTTTATCTTAGGATCTGAGAAGCAGGAGCAAGGAACTCAGGAAGAGATCCAGGAAGACATCTGACTGTGTTAAGAGAGGATAGTCACAGCGACACGGGGAGTGAGGACACTTGCAGCAAAGTAAAATTACTTCACAACTGTTTCATCAGAGCTGCAGTTGTGAGAGAGCCTAAGCCTGTCTCAGAGTGCAAGGGACAAGCGGAAAGGAATGGTAAAATTTCCACTGACAATTAAAATTTTGTTAAATAGCCTGCTACTGTTAATTGTATCACTTGAATGTATGCAGGTGTATTTCTGTGAGAATTTATAGGTAGACTCAACCCCACCAGCCCCTCTTGCCCCCATCAGGGGTGGGTTTTCTCAAGCACAGTGCCCCTCCTGCTTGTGGACCATGCTGGGGCTCCTCGCCTGGGGCCGGGCTGCTGCAGGGCACTGAGTCCCCGAGGCACGGCCTGTGAGACACGACAGGAACATCTCTGCTCTTGACTGAGGGCCTCCTTTTTCCTCTGCAGTGTAAGAATGCCGGTAACTCAGTTAGAAGCATGCTTCGAAGCTTTTCGTGTCCTTGCCATCCAGAAGCGGAGCCTGGAAGCTTCCCAATTTCTCCAGAATGTGGTCTACATTCACCTTCGACAGGTGAGTGTATGTCCTTTTACAAGTGGAGGAATTACGGCAGTTTTCTTGGAACTTACGCACCACTAGTCCATCTGATTTTTCTGTGCTAGGATTCAGTATGGCATGCTAAAAACTCTGGAGTCAGATCTTGAAACCCTGATGAAGAGGATTATTTATTTTACTTCTTTATATGATAGTCTTTTACTTAAAAAATTAAGAGTTTTCTGTTCTTTCAGGAATTTTGGGGGGTTTGGAGAAACAACATTGCTCTTACCATCTTTGTGACCTGTTGCTATATGCCTCTCACCTGTCTTCTGTCACTTGTGAGGCGGTTCCATTTGTGACCCTGTCCAGGTTGTTCATGTTATAAAATATAAATTTTGTAAAAGTACAGTCCCTTTAACTCCGAAGACATTTCACAAATACTACTTAAATCTGGGTGTGGTTTTTAGAAGACAGAATCATTAGAACATGTACTTGCAGGTTGCTAGTGCAAAATCCCCAAATCAACACTCTAGCTCAACATCTAAAATCTTTCTAATCTAACTTGAATTTGTATGGATAAGTGAAGCAGTTTGCTAAGAACTCAAGACCAGGGTTAGAATAAACGCTGTTGTAGCTCAGCAGGTCCTCCCAAGCTGCCATTGTGCCAGAGGGCGGGGCTGAGGGGAGAGGGCGGGGCCGAGGGGAGAGGGAGGGTCCTGCCCTCCCTGAGCTGACAGTTTCATGGCAAAGACCTTCACCAGGTGAAGAACTTGGAATTTCTTCTAAGAACAGTGGGTATGAAAAGAGTCCTAAAAGCTCAGGAGTGACACAATCCCATTTGTCTCAAGTAGGGGAGAGCAGCTGTGGGGCCACTTGGGAGACTCGTGAGTACAGATGGGCAGTGTTGGTGGCTTCCACTTGAGCGGTGGGACGGTCAGTGGGTAAAAGTGAACAGACTGAAGGCATGTTTAGATGGTAAAAAGGAAAGGATGAATGCTGTCTGTGAAGGTAGGATGGAGTAAGGCCCAGGTTCCTGGGTGGATTAATGAGGTAAATGATGGTCCTGTTGTGCTCTGAGGAGGGAAAGATGCAGAGGGAGTTCTGGGGGAAAACTGATGAGTTCAGCTGTGGGTAAAGTGAAAGGCTGTTCGATGTGTGGTCTTGGAGCTCAGGTGAGAGCCAGTAGTGAGTAGGGGGTGGGGAGAGAGACTTTGAAATAATTTATCTTGTGAACATACAAATAAGTATGAGTAATGACAGACTTAACACCTCTGTAATCTGGATTAAAACCCAGTAACATTTTGCTATATTTACTGCAGAGGTTCTTAATTTTTTTAATAGAAATAAAATAAATAGAAACAAAATAGTGAAGTTAATGAACATCTTAGAGTTGATGTGTGTCTTGTATGTATTTTGATACCTCGTCTGTTTATAACCATAATCTACAAAATGTTAACTTGCTTAGCATAAGTGTTAAACAGAGGGACGTGTCACACACTGTTGGGGGTTAAGCTGATCTTCTTGTGCAAATTATGTAGCCTCTCTTTGTCTTAGTTGCATCTTCTGTGACTGCCCCCGGGCCCCTCATCACAGCTGATTTCCTAGACTAGATGTTGGGAGGGAGGATGCTGAAGGGAGTAAGAAGTGGCAACTGCTAGGGATACTGAAGAGAGAGACAAAAACAGATGGAAGCCGATAAACTGAGTACAAATACCCTCAAAAGAGAAAGAATCCCACAGTGTTTTCAGCCACTAAGTGTAAGGGAAACAAAATCACGTGGACCCAAGCTATTAAGCATGTGAGTATTGTGGGTGGGAAGGTGTCATCATAAAAGGGTTGAGAAAAGGCCTTTTGGTTTCCCTTGACGTTTCCAGTAAGGATGGGGAGCAGAAGCAGAAACCCCCCGCTTGACAGTGGAAGGTGTTGTTTTGTGCAAAACTGACCAAAGGTTGGAAACCAATCATCAGCGGTGCTGGCAAGTGAAGAGACTTCTGGATTGGGTAGGTCGGTCACCTGCTGTGACTTCCAGATGACCTGCTGGCTTGGGGCTGCCAGGAGGGCAGTAGGTTTGCAGAGTGACCCGGGCATAATCCCTGCCTCTGAGGCTGCTGGTCTGACTAGCAGACCTGGGCACCCGCAGTCCTAATGGTGCAGCTCGGGATGTGGCCTGGGACACCTGCCGTGCTGAGGGCAAGAAGAGGGCTCCCCTGAAGGGGTGTCCCTGCGGAGAGTGGAAACGTCCTCCTGCAGGAGAGGAAGAGCCTCTGAGCAGGGGGCCGGATTCATAGGCAAGACCAGCCTGAGCACGGAGGGTTCGGGGAGCCGGAAGTCATACAGTGGCCTGAGCAGCCTTGTTCCTGAGAAATTGGAGGGAAAAGATGCTGAAAAGGCAGGCTAGTGTCAGACCCTGTGCTGAGTCATGAGTGACAGGAAAGGACTGGTCAGGCAGGTACGAGAGAACCCTGTGGGCGCCCCAGCTGGTGCGTCCCGCCCGAGGGAGGATCAGAGTGATAGACTTTGCAACTTATTAACTGTGTGAGTAATATCACCCTACCTCTCTCTATATATATCTTCATCTGTAAAGTGACAGTGTGACAAGGTCATGTCATTAGAAGGCTTAGTTTAGCTCTGATCCTTTTGTCCAGCCCTGTCAGTGCTGCCCTGCAAGGTTCTGCAGTGGCTGTTCTTACCCTGAGATGGGAGGGCGCAGAGGGACATTGTAGCGCCAGAGGGCAGGAGGGGGTTGTTTAAAAACAGAAATGTAGCCGCCTGCAGCTGCAGGCAGTTTGGTTGACGGTCCGTGGAGAGGACTTTGGGGGCCTTAACATCGTCTTAAGTATTGCTTTCCCTTGGGGACCGGATTTGCCTTTGCAGATTAATGTTGAAGATTTGGGCTTCTGGCAAAGCTGTTTTCAGAGATGGTTATATACGTAACATATCGTATAAAATAAAATGCTTTTATTTAATGTGTAGGTCTTTGCAGCTGTTGGGAACATCTCTGTTGGCCTGTTCTCCACGGAGGACACTAGGGGTCAGCAGAGCGTGTGGGAGGGCAGGCAGCCCGACCTGCTGCTGCGGGGGGTTCTCCCCAGCACGGCGCTCTGCTGAGTTGACTCTTCTCTGAGTTTGGTTGCCAGGTGAGCAGAGAGCAAAGTAATGAGTTCTGGTGGGATTTTATAATGACAGGAAGAAATAGGGACCCGTAGTTTTTTCTGGACTAGAACACGCTTTTGGTTCCTGATCCATTGGGTTTCATTACAGAATTGACAAGTTGTGTCTATTCTGGGACTTGATTGAAATAAACGTGCAGCCTAACACTTAAGAGTTATGTTTTATTTGGCGGGAGGACTCGAACTGGGATGACAGCCTCTCAGATCACTCTGAGGGACTGTTCCCAAGAGGTAGGGGATGAGCTAGGATTATATAGGAGCTTTACAACAAAGATCAGGTAGATGGAACAATAGAAGATTGCTTGTTATCTAAAGAAAGCCAAGTATCTCAAGTTCAATAATTTAGTGCTTTTCTATGTATGGGAGGAAGCAAACATTTGGGTCATTGAATTAATTCCTTTGACAAGCTCCTAGCTATCTAGGGCCAGTAACCTGTCCTTTCTTATTCTGAGTCCATTCAGAGGGCACCACTGTGAGTGGCTGCAGAAGCTGGGCTGCAGGCCTGTCCTCGCTGGGGTATGGCGGTAGCCTCTGATGACTTGGTTTCAGCATTCTTTGTATACTGACATGGTTGCAGTATTTTCATTCACATTGTAGTAATTTCTTGCACAGACTGAATATGGATAATCTGGAAACTTGGAAAGGAACCGAGATGGAATTACTGCAGGTACCTTCTACTTTAATAAGCCGTGTGCAAACATAAACACGGAGGAAGCATACAAAAGGATTTGGTGGTGTAGGGAAGGGTTTCTGCACATTACAGGAGAAGGCAAGGCAGAATTCCTCTTTGTGGGCAGGGACGTGAGTACAACTTTCTTTTCTGTAGCGGTTTCTGAGAACAGTTTATGGTAATTAACCAACATTGACAAACGGTGGCACACATTGCATTTAAGAGCTGGCCAGCTGCAAACTTGTGTATCGGACAGGTGGATTTATAGGCAAGTGGTCAGGTGGACAGGAGAGAGATGGAGACCAGGACTGGGCCCAGATTCAGGTTTAAATCGCCATTTCCTCACCATAGGGCCGTGGACTAGAATGTAACCTCCCTTAACCTGTTGGTGAATCTGTGAAATGGGCATGATAATATTCGTTTTGTGAAGAAAAAGCCCAGCTGGGCTAACAAGATAACTCACAAATCTAAATGTAACAAGTGTCGGATTACTGATCTGAGTTTTGCTGGGCTAACTCATAAATCTGAAGTTTAGTGTCAGTCTATTGGGCTAACGAGCTCAGTCACAAATCTAAGTGTGATAAGTGTCAGTTTACTGATATAAGTTCTGCCGGACTAACTTGTAAATCTAAAGTTTAATGTCAGTTTACTGGGCTAACAAGCTAACTCGTAAATCCAAGCTCAACAAGTGTCAGTAACGTGATCTGTTCCGAATTGATAAGCTGCAGTGTACTGATTCCTTGCTTTTTTTGTTTGAGACTTATTGGCTAATAGCCCCATACTTGTAATTAACCCTATAAAACCTCATGTGCACGTCTTGGAGGTGCTCAGAGCTTCGGAGCAGGAGCCCCTCGGAGCCCGCCGGCGTAATAAATCTGAGTACTCCAACCCTCCGAGTGGTGCTTGTTTCTTGGCTGGCCTGTCATTTCCGTCACATTTCCTTCCTGGGTTTGTTGTAAGTTGTAAACAGTATTATAACACACATGAAGCACTTAACACACTGGCACTTAGCAATGTTCACTGTGTGCGTCCGCCCCGCTTGGGGTGTGTCAGAGCCGTAAAGGCAGCATGTGTCTGTTGAGGACGCACTGGTAGCCCCTTGAATAGGTTGTGAATTTGGTGATTTCCTTTAATCCTTGTAACTCTGTGTGCCATGGGCTGTTATTTTCATGGACAGATGAGGAATCTCAGGGTAAAGAAGACTGTGTAATTTGCCCCAAGTCAGACCATAATTTTGGGTGCAGGGGCCTCGGTTCAGCATGGGCCCTTGTGCTTTCTGCCCTCTCCGTTCAGCACCAGAGCCAGACGTGGGTTCGCCTGTCTCCCAGCCCAGAATATCCAGTAGGCAGCAAGACACACCTGTCCCTGTGCTGCTTGAGCAAAAACTCCAGAGGGAAGGCAGTTACTAAAGGAATAAACATAGAAAGAGATGACTGCAAACTGTGATCAGCTCTGAGAAGGAAAGGAACACGCCTCGCCGTGCAAAGCTGGGAGCTTTCCCGTCGGGGCTGCTCTGGGGGCGTTCATCTCAGCTAAACAAGCTCTGCTGCTGCACCAAGCAGGAAGGCAGGGCACGTGTGACCGGGTAGACTGGGCCTCATTGATCATACTCATTCCCCATTAAGCAGCAGCTGTCACGGGCACTTACCTAGTAAACAGATGTCGGCCATAATCATCATGCACTTTGCTCAGTATTTTTTTTGGCCCCACCTTTGAGATGAAGTCATTGAAGCTGGGGAGTTTGCTGCATGCCCGTGGTCACCTTGGAAATACCCCCACTGGTCTTTCAACCTAGACTGGTGTGGCTTTCATGACCCAGCCTTGTGGATGGCATCGTGTATCTTCTCCCAAGTGGCCCAATGACTGACATTGACATTCTTAATTCGTAGGAAATGGTATGTGACAATAAGTGAAAAAGTTAGTAAGAAATTGTTTGGAAAACAAACAAACAAAAAAAAACCCAATACTTCCCCAGCTGGGGGAGCGTACCCAGTGTCACTCACTGCCTGGTACCTCCTCCCTGCCGACTCCGTGTTCAGAAGCCACTCTGAGCCTTTGAAGAACATTTTGCCTCATGACACTGTTGACTAGGACCTGCGACCTCTCTGTCCCTGGTTAACTCTCTCTTCAAAGCCATTTAAATTTTATGCAGGCTGCTCCACTCAGATGTAAGAATAGCCTCTTTAAGCTTCTTGATGTAACTCCTTAATGAAGATCTTGCGAAGAAAACCTAGCCAAAACCTAGGCGGTATACACATAGTGACTTTAACCTCAGCACTTCGTGAAGTTCAGAATCAGAGGGGTGGGAGACTCAGGAAAGGCTTTTTTAAGGTAGCAAGGGGAAAGTGAAAGGATGCAGGCTGTGTGAGACTGAAACATCTCTGGTCCCAGCCAGCAAGGCGCCTGCGTTCAGGATGGTGTATGGGGAGTGCAAAGTTCTCACAAAGAAAGAAGTGGTGGGATGAGAGGAAGGACAGTTAGGTTCTTTACTGGGGAAAGAAAAAGTGGGCTCAACATTACCTGGTTGAACACGAGGACTGTGACATGATGTGCTTGTATTTTAGAGAGAAGGGTTTTGTGGGGACAGGCCTAGGAAGAACGCTCTCTGGCTGGGGAGTCAGCACAACAGGGAAAGACAGAGACCCGGGCCGACCCCAGGGTCCCTGCTTGGGGAGGGGCTGCCCACCAATTCGAGCCCTGGGGGCTGCTTCTGTCCCTTAGCTGGGGACTCAGATCTCTCTTCACAACCCAGTCCTGTTGATACAAGAAAAAAAATGTGGGGCTTGAGAAGGGCTGTGTCCCAGGCTTTGGTTGAGCCTCTGGGATGTGCCCCGCCAGATGTGGGTCCTTGGCTTCATGCAGGAAAGAATTCAAGAGCAAGTCACTGTTGAGAAAAGGTAGATTTATTCAGAGAAATATATTGAAAGACAAGAGAAAGGCCACGAGGTGTGGGGGTTGGATGCTCAGATTAAAAGTAGGTACACACTCCACAGACAGAGTGTGGGCCTTCTCCGAAGAGGGAGAGAGAGGAGTGACAGCGAGGGGGCGCTGTGTTGCTGGTTTTCATGGGCTTGGTGGTTTCATATGCTAATAAGTAGAAGGACCAGCCTTAGAGCAAGGGGCTGGGATTCCCAGAGAATTGGTCATTTCCCACCCTGTGATGTTTTGTGGTTAGCCTTGGGACTGCCTTGGTGCCTGGGGGCATGTTATTCACCATGTTACTATTACAATGGGTGTGTACTGTGGCCTTCTTGAATGGCTGTGCTCTGCCCCCTTCCATCCTGTCTCACTGTGATGACACAGAGAGAGCAAAGGCTGGGCCCTTCCTGTGCTCCTGCATTTAACAGGGGGTGGGGTGGGGTGGGCTGAGGATGGTTGAGTAGTGAGAAGGATGTTTCAGATTTTCCCACGTGGGACATGGGGACCTGCCAGCAGCCACCGCAGATTTATCTCACGGGCATTATGGCTTCTGTCACTCATCTTTTTTGATTTTTCATTTTTTTTATGTATTTAATCTAAATTTAATATCAGATATTTTTAGGAAAGAAATTTCTTTTTCTTTTCTTTGGGGCTCTTTGGGGGGGTAGGTAATTAGGTGTATTTATCTGTTAGTGGAGGCCCTGGGGCTTGAACCCAGGACCCCATGCACGCTGAGCACACGCTCTACCACTGAGCTCTACCACCCACCCCATCATCTTTCTTTTTGCTTTGGCTGCCAAGAATATTACAGCTGAATTTCTAGTCGGCCTTTAACACTTACCCTGACTTCATGGCATCCATTTTTATGACTTTATCTCCCCCTGGTTTCATTTAACTATTGAATCCCCATTTTCTCTTCACTCTCATTTTGTCTTTTTCTTGTTATGGTTGTTAAGCTGTGTTTAAAAAATTGTTAAATTTCTCTTTTAGCAGGAGGCTGAAAGTAAATATATATGTAAACAAACTTATCACACTTAAATGCTTTTATACGTTCTAAGCTGTTTAGTAGTTACTTAAAAAACCAAATTGAATATTAAAGTGATAACATTTTTAAATTACTTTTTAATTTTTTGTAAATGTATAGCTGATTTACAATATGATATAAGTTTCAGGTGTACAATAGATGCTCCATTTATAGTTATTGTAAAACATTGGCTGTATTCCCTGTGTTGTAAGATACATCCCTCTAGCGTGTTTATGTTATATGTAGCAGTTTGTATAAAAATGTTGGGTAACGCAGATTCTGGGGCGGGGCTGTGTCTGACTCAGGTTCATGATCACCCTGCCTGTCAGAGACCAGGCTCTCACTCCTGTCTGCATAGGACTGAGTGGAGGCAGCTCTCATCAGCGCTGGCACCACCCTCTGAGTGGCAGTGACAGCAGTGACTGTGGACATGCAAAGTGTTGTTCCAGGAGCTTTACATGCATTTCTGCATTTAATATTTAAAGCCTTCCTGTGAGGAATCGTTTTATGTATTTTTAATGAATAATACACTTTATTTTTATTTTGATAGAAAATTTACAGGAGTAGTACAATGAACACTTAGATACACTTCACCTAAAAGGGCAGTATTTGCCCTTTTGTGTCTGGCTTATTTTAGTATACTGTTTCAAGGTTCATCCATGTTGTAGCCCGAATCAGTGTTACGGAAATGACAGGCCAGCCAAGAAACAAGCACCACTCGGAGGGTTGGAGTACTCAGATTTATTACGCCGGCGGGCTCCGAGGGGCTCCTGCTCCGAAGCTCTGAGCACCTCCAAGACGTGCACATGAGGTTTTATAGGGTTAATTACAAGTATGGGGCTATTAGCCAATAAGTCTCAAACAAAAAAAGCAAGGAATCAGTACACTGCAGCTTATCAATTCGGAACAGATCACGTTACTGACACTTGTTGAGCTTGGATTTACGAGTTAGCTTGTTAGCCCAGTAAACTGACACTAAACTTCAGATTTATGAGTTAGCCCAGCAGAACTTAAATCAGTAAACCGACACTTATCACAGATTTCTGACTTAGCTTGTTAGCCCAGCTGGGCTTTTCCTTCACATCAGTAATTTATTCTTTTCGTTTAATAATATCCTTTTTCTTTTTTTGTTTTGTTTTTGTTTTTGGTCTATTTAAAAATATTTTCATTGAATTCTAGTCAGTTTATAATGTTGCATCAGTTTCTTGTGTACAACACAACACTTCAGTTATATAGGAACATACATGTATTCATTTTCATATTCTTTTCCAACATAAGTTACTATAAGATATTAAATATATTTCTCTGTGCTATACAGTATTAAGTTGCTGTCTATTCTGTACATAGTCAGTATCTGCAAATCTTGAACTCCCAATTTATCCCTTCCCACACCCTCTCCTCTCTGGTAACCATAGTTTGCTTTCTATGTCTCTGTGTCTATTTCTGTTCTGTAGATAAGTTTGTCCTTTTTTG